GACCGGTGAGTACCTGGGGTGTTGTTGTGAGGGGGAGTGCTTGGGTGTGCCTGTGGTGTCTATGAGAGTGATGCAACTACACTGCCTTAGTGCTATACATCAGGGTGATCCATGGACCAGGTAAAGAGTGCTCTTACTGTGCTAGTCTACTGTTGAGGAATCACCACCATTTCTTACTGTGCTCTCCTTTCCAGGACCTTTATTTGTCTCCATGCCAACCAAGACTTCTAGGCTATTGCTTATCTTACTGTAATCTTAATTCCCTTGTGTCGCAGGTTAGGATGTTCTGTTTAAAATTATTGTTTACTGCAAAGTTGGACCATATTGTACTATTCGGCTCTCGGACAGAATATTGCAGTCACCCATGAGGGATTTTCCTCTGGAGGGTGGTTGCCTAGCTTATCCTGTGAAGGATATTTGGTGCCCTCGGGATTATCTTGTACTAATGGCTCTTGACTGTGTTCTTAGTTCAAGTACAGTGTTGTTTGGGAATTACCTGTTTCATTGTCCCAAATTGTTTCTCAGGGTTGGAGGTAGGCTTAGCTAGGTATTGCATCTTAGGGTGATTGAGCTAATCTTCACATATCTTTTGTGAACCCCTGTTGACCGGACCGCAACAATGTTCTTGGTGTACCACGTGTTCTTATGTGTGATGTCACCGCAGGCATATGTAAACAAAGCATGACAGATGGGAACAGTTTTCGATTGAAATCGATGGTTATTTGTGAATAATATTTTTGATTGTGATATTATAACATATTTCTGATGGTGAAATAATTTTGATTGTGATATTGACACTTGCCAGTAGTATCAACATTTGAACATCGAAGTTCTAACATAATTACGAGATAAAAGGACTGAGCAGAGCTGAGATCATGGCTGAAGCTTCATAACCGATGTCATAATTGTCATTGTCATTTTTTACGTCATTGATATCATTCTGGAACCAACGTAAGTAACTAAGGAATTTCCCAGTTCAAATATTTATTGATATATTTATATCAATTTCAAAACTTTATGTATTTCTAAAGGGAGTTGTGATGAGACCATGGGAGTTGAACCGTTGAGTTTAGACCATTGCAACTTGCAACAGGGGCCCAAGGGCCAAGGGCATGGGGCCTTGCGAAGGGTTAAGACCACGGACCGCCGCACAGCGGTGGACCGACATAAGTACCTCTCTTCATAAACTTCCACTATGGCTCATACCAATCATAATTCATGCAACTATGCAAGTCTATGCAGTATGCATGAATTATGAAGTCTATAATTGTGCACTGGTTATATCAAGTGAGGAAAACATCTACCTTTAGGGCCGCAACTAGAGCTTTCTTGCCATTTCCAGAACTGTGAGATTTCTGCCAGATGAATTACCTTCTATCTAATTGTTAACTAAAGTGCACGGTCCAGGGTGCAGAGTTTGCAGCTGCGTTGCCAAGTTATGGATTTTCAGCCCAAAATGTTGCCAGCCATTTTCAAGATGCATTGCTAAGTAATTTTGCATTGCTAAGTAAAAATGCTGATAACAACTTTGATAGTATACCTATCCCTTACTCTCCATGCACTGCAACACTTACACTCATCGCAACTGATTTCCAGACAAGCTTCACTGCATTCTGATCCCTCCAACGTACCAGAAACCTTACTATGTGCACTTGCAGCCTTTCATATTTTCAACTATTCTCTAAATAGTTGGCCGAAGACTGGCATTCTGGCAAATATCTGAAATGCAATAATTTCAACTCAAAAGTTTCAGCAAGATCTTCTGAAGGCATAAATTTTGCTGCTGATGCGGCGCCAAAGATCTTGCAACATTCACTCACTCGCTGCACCCTGTTGCAAGGTCAGGCCGCAAGATTTAAATCGTCAAACATACAAACTTCTGACTTTGACTTTGCAGTTTGCAGACTGCCGCTTCCCGGGTGCCCGCCTGTCCCCCTACTGCCCTTTTCTTCCTCGCCGCCACCCCATATCTTTCCACCGCCCCCAGACTCAGTGGGACAATTTTGCCCACTTTTGGACCCACTGACTGCTTTACCTACTCAGTTACTCTGGTCTATTTATAGGATTTAAATTGAACTTGAGGAAGAATCTAAAAATCTCTGCTTTACCACTAACATGACTATGCCTATCAGGCTGCCAGAAACATTGATGCCAAAAGTAACCTTTTTTAGATCAATAAATCCAGTGATGCTGTGAACTTTCAGCAAATGATTCAAGATTGGCCTTCCAAACATTTAAAAATAAATAATAGAACACTATCCCATGTTCATATCTAGGTTTTCAGCTAGATTTTTCAACAAGTTGCCGGAAATGAGAGTAGCTAAGAAGTTCAAAAAACAAATATAGGCTAACTAGGTAATACAAAGACCCCAGACTGCTGATGGGAATGCTTAGTGCTAGCTGTTGCTAATATGCTACTCACGACTCACGTCGTAGTCGCTTCCGTCACTTGGTGCGTAACCGTGCGTTAGACTCTATTAGGGGATTTGGACAAAAATTATGGGCAAAAATTCCATCTTAGGTATTCAATTTGTTGTTGACAATTAGACACTCAAATGACTCAATGCCATTCAACAGACTTATAATAACTACTATCAACTTAACAGTCTTAACTACTAATTGAGTTCTAAAGGCTAGATAGTAGGCCTACTGGCCTAGTGTAGTAGGTAGTGTAAATCTTGAGCATATTGCATAGCCTAACTTATACCTATGAATAATGAATCTATGATTGATAGGTATGATCTATGAAGAAATTAAAAATGAACCAATTTTGAGGAATTTCTTGTTTCCTCAGAAGTCAGAAGTATTAGCTAAGTAGTAAATCAACAGAGTTTTTTTTTAAATACTCGTATTAGAACAATCAAAATATTCATATTCCTCAATAATCAAAAATGAGCCTAGTAGGTAGGCTACTAAGCAGATTCAGATATCAGCTTTGATACGTTAACTCACCTTTTGATACCAATAAGAATGAAGAAGCAAAAATATGATAATACTTTATAAAGTTTATATCTTGAGGGTTTCGTTAACGTAAAAGAAATCTTTATCTCGTACTCGTAGGATAATTGAAGGGCTCAAACAGATAGTGAGCGAGACGCAAACTATGAAACTTTCCTTTCGCCAAGTCGTGCACGTCTGTCCACAGAGTCACAGACACAGACCACACCTGACACCTCGTTCGTAAGGCTCTCAATTGACGACAAACGACACACATGAGGTGAACGGGCCACTTACAGTGTTACACTTATAGTCAATGCATTGCTCAACAACCAAGTCACCACGCCACCGACACAGAATGCCAATTGCGAAGCATGAGAGGGAAGTGTTACCCATTCATTTATTTATACGCCTCCTTAGAAAATGTACAGAGATCATATCCTTCTCATACTATGTTGTGAAATGTATGAAATTCACGTCAGAGCTATGTTGACTTCATCGTTATTTCTAGTCGTTAACCCTCTACCGCCGTATGTAACTCTCCACCGCAGGAACATAACTTTAAATTTAAATTATACGTACACTATTGACTGCATAGCAATATAAGGACATTTGTGCGCAACAGAGAAGCTTTTAAAGTTGTACGTGGGGGCAATCATCAGTGCAAGTCATTTTGCGCTAACTAGAACGCACCCTATTTTGGAAAAGTAGGCTTGGTACATTGCTCAGATTCTCATGTCAGGCGGTAGAGAGTTAAATATTGTATTGCTATACAGGATCCACTCGATCTCAGTTCGCAATCCCGTTGTTCAGTTTGCAATCCCGGTGTTCGCAACGAATACAATTTTCTGCTTGATCAGACTCCATAAAATCTCGATTAAATAACTATTCAGTCATCAGGTATCCAAAATCAATTTACACTTATTATTTTCATTTATTAATTTCAATCTTCTCAACAACCCCGTAAGTTGACAATTTTTCACATCTCTGACATCGATTTCGTCATTGTCTTACCATTTTTTACCATCTTGAAATTCTATTTCGAATCGTATGAAAAGCTACTAGCTACGAAAACGCATTAGACGCAGAAATTTAGAGCTTACAAAGAAATTTATATTCAGAAATTATATTCATATTTATTAAGAAATTTATATTTATATATATTATAAAAATAAATAATAAATCTCTAGCACATATAAGTTAAAATAAATCCTGCTGCTCCAAAAAATCTCAAATCCTTCCCAGCAGGCTTCCACCAACTTTTGAACTAAACGTGAATAATTTACAACAACAATCTTAATTTATTCCGTTACCCAAACGTCTTAATTCAAACTAAAACGTCGTCCAAATCTTGATCTCTGGACTTCGGCTGATGCTTAAATCTATATTCCTCATTGGTTGCATTATCAATGTATTACTTACTTTGGCAGGTCGATCATCATATCAATTCGCTAAGTTTGGCCCTCTTACCAGTTTGTTAATAACCTCGCAATGGAAAATCTGTTGTATCCATCAGGCCAGATCAAGTGATGACTTCTTAATCTTCCTTTCACAATTGTCCACAAACTTGTCCCAGCTCTCTCTTCAGGTTATTTACGGTGTGGATAAAATATAGACGCTCTACAGGTAGCATCTTGTTCTTAATTAACGTGTATTATACGTATTTGCACTCAACGTATTATATCCTCAACGTTGTTTGAAACGTACCGCGCATTCAACGTTGTTATTATTGCAACGCATCTTGCACGCAACGTCAATTGCAACGTGATTTATTCCCAAGCAGACTCTTCTACGAAGATTTCATCTTAATTACCCTTTACACAGGTATATTCTTCAAAAAGAGTTTCTTCATAAGTATCTTTTTCTCGGGTAAACTCTTCAAATAGACTTTTAACATGCGTCCTCTCGATACTAGTCTGCAATGAGCGCCCTTTTATAATTTTGCCAGCAGGCTTCCGTTACACCTTACTTGAATCCCGTGTTCCTCAAATATCTTTGCCAACAGGTTTATGTGCACAAGGCTACCCTCAACGTGGTCTATTCCCGCAGGATCATCTACATCATTCCTTTTCCGTCCATCCTTCAAATAATTATACTATGACGATAGGTTTTTAAATGGAAGCCTCCACGATTTGACTATTTTTCGGTTTCTCTTTAAAATGGTCTCGCTGTTCGGGGTTGACTTGATCCTGTGTTGGAAACTTCCACCAGCAACACCATCGTCAAAAGCTTCATCTGTACTTTGGCTGCCAGACTGATAGGCTGTATCAAGCTACACGTACGTATCTGTCCAACGAGTATTCCAATAAATGGGAACATCCAGGTTTCCTATAATGCTTTATTTAGCTGCAGGACAGCACATTACAGACGTCCTGCCGGGAGGGTGCACTTTACTGTTTGTTTGACTGTGCTCCCATTCTTTAATCCCTGCAGCAGATATCCTAACTCCACACTGTCGTCGAACGACTTATCTTCTTGGATCCTTACCTATTGCGCCAACCAACCACGCCTTTCTATCAACTTCCCACCGAATACTTTATCCAATAACTTTAGTTATTCGTGTGGTTGATTGTGAATCTTCTCAAAAGTCCTATTGTATTGCAGATATGGCCTCGAATTTGAATAATATCTGGTCTACAAAATTAGTAATTTCACAATTAACAAGATATCGTTTGCCCGAGTAGAACAGACCTGCGACTGGAGACATATCCTGACCTCATACTCGTACATCAGGGGACGGTGTCATGTGTTCGCCCGGTGCCAGCATACAAAAACGTTACCTGTTGTCCGCGGCGCGGTCTCGAGGGCGATGTCTTGGAATAGAATAGAATAGAAGGGTCGGCATTGAAGAAATAGGCCCATGGCCTGTTGCCGATTCTTGAACTTTTCGTGACTTGATTTACGAGGAATCCGGCCTTTGGAACCCGATCTTTCCATAACTGACGGTTGATTGATATAGCTGCTGAACTTATTGCCTGTTCCGCAATTTTCTAGGCATTTTTACACTGAACATATGCTCCTGCATAGCTTCGTCTAACCTGTTTTTGCTTCGTCTAACCTATAACCATATTTGCTTCGTCTTACCTGTAACCATAGCTTCATGCTCAGAGCGTCAACGATGCTATCAGGGAGGCTGTTCCACATGTCGGTTACTGGAAGCGAGAAGAAATGTTTTCGCATGTATGTATTCCAACGCTGTATTTTTAGTTTATAGCCGTGGCCCCTGGTGTTGGTTCTCGTTTCAAATTCTAGTAATCCTTCCGAGACCTTGTATAAGCCATGAGTATGCTTGTATACTTCAATGAGGTTCCCACGCAGACGACGATAACTGAAGCTTGGAAGCTTCATAATCTTTAATCTTTCCTCATAAGACTTGCCTTTCAAGCCCGGAACTATCCTTGTTGCGCGTCTTTGAACACTCTACTAATTTTTTGTCCTTTTTCAAATTTCGGTGACCACACGACGTTTCCAAACTCTAGGTTCGGGCGCACGACAGCAACAAACAACTGATTCATCGCTTCTGCATCTAGGAACTCGAAAGAGCGTCTGATCAGTCCAAGTCGTTTATTGGCTTTATCAACTTGACCTTCAATAAGCTTAGAAAATTTCAACTCATTGTCGATATTGACTCCTTGTTTATTGACCTTGCAACTGAACTTTTTGCGACGTATTCTTCACTGTATTATAAATTGTTGTGCCGTCAGCATACATCGAGCAAACGCTAGACACAGCTTCTGGTAGATCGTTAATAAACTCAACGAATAGAATAGGCCCGAGAACGCTTTCTTGTGGCACGCCGCTGCGAATAGAACAGAATTGTTGGCACTGAAGAAAGAGGCTCATGGCCCGTGTCCGATTCTGGTACTTTTCGTGACTTGATTCTACAAGGGATCCGGCATTCTGGACCCGATCTTTCCATAACGATTGTTTGAGATAGAACTCTACAATACCGAGATGCCCTGTGCACTTATTAATCTCATTCGTGCACGCACAGTTCGGGTACCCCAACGAGTCTCCGACCCATGTTCGACGATGAATGTCGGGCCTCGCAGCAGGGGATTTGACTGCTCCAGCGTGCTGTCTACCGGGCGAACAGACGCGGCAATCCTGCTGCTGCGGCCTTCACCTGGCGGGATGCCGGACGCAATTATGTCGACCTTATTTGGTCTAAAACAGAGTCATTTTGGCGCCAGAGAGTCGAGGCGCAACGCAACGACCCTCGAGGGCTGTGACGTTCGCTGGATTAACTTATGAGAAGAGGTCATACAGATGCTTCGGGTGACGTAAGAGAGGAAGAATTCCATGCGTTTTTTTAAACAACATTACTGCTGTGCGAGCGTCGTCAACGGTTACTTTGTCAGCAATATTTGCGCCGTTCGACTGCGTGCTCCAAGAATTCACTTGAGCCACAACTGAAGATGTCGTCGCTGCAGTGTGCGCGCTGCTTAATAAGCAGTGTGTCAGCGATCTGCTGCCGATGTCGTTACTGAAGGGGAATGTCGTAACCCTAGCACCTTTTCTGGTCGAACTTTTCAACCGCTGCCTAACTGACAGTGCTGTTCCAGAGAACTTCAAACAGCTTACAGTACGCCTCTACTGAAAAAAAAACTTGACACTTCTGATCCCAAATCATATCGATCCATCTCCAACATGGCGATTTTGACGAAACTCCTGGAACGCGTTGTGGCTCAACAGCAGGATAACTATCTTAAGCAGCCCCGACTCATGCCTCGCCTCCAGTCTGTACACCATCTCCAATCGACGGAAACCGCCGTACTGAAAGTGTTTTCAGATATTCTGCGAGCAGTAGACCGCGGCGACATTGCGGTACTTGCTTTACTCGGCCTGTCGGCCGCATTTGACGCGGCCGAACTGCCACTTTATTGCGTTGACCTGACATATCATTCGGACTGCGCGGTACATGGCCGGTGGAGGTTCGAGTCCTCTCTCAGCAATAGATTCTAATACGTCCGACGTGTGAACTCATCTTCTACGTCATCGTTGGTCACCTGCGTTGTACCGCATGGATCAGTCCTCGGCCCGATCCTCTTCCTGTTTAACACTGACGACATATTGCGCATTACTGATTCACATAGTTTGAATCCCATATGTTCGCCGACGATACCCAATTGTGTGGCTACAGTGCACTGGCTGATTCTGCAGCTTTGCAGGACCCAATATCTGTCTGCATGGGCGTCGTCTCAGAGTATATGCGCCCCAACCGGCTCCAGCTCAATTCATCAAAATCAGACTTCATTTGGTTTGCGACCGCTCGGCTCCAGCATCAGCTTCCGGCCATCCCTATTCGCCTGAGCATCGAGTTCGTAATGCCTGCGTCTTCGGTTCGCAACCTCGACATTCTGCTGGACTCCGAACTTTCTAATAACAATCACATTGCCAA